CTTTTGAAAAAAAATTAAGTAGGTCCTATACTTTTAAAACAAATCAAATAAACCATCTTTGAAAAAAATAAAATAGTGTGTTCTAACTTTTATTCTTTTATAGATTTTATGAGGAATTGCTAACAACTTGACAAATAAAATAAATTTAATAAAATATTTTTATTTATTTGACATATTTGTCATTTCGATATGTATATAGTTAATAATTGTTTATATTAAGTAACAAAATAAAATTGAGTTAAAATTGGTATTATCAATTCTTTAAAATATTTAATTTTACTATCTTGATAATATCGAGTAATATTTTGTGATAGAAGTTATGTTTCATATTGAAATTGAAATATACAAATTTTAACAAGTTTTTCTATATTTAAGATTTTTAAATTTTTAATTTTTATATATTTTAATCTTAATCTTATTCATAAATTACAAATTAAAAAATTTATTTTTAACATATACATTTCAATAGCACTTCACCTCCCTAAGATTATTTTCTAGCTTCGTCCGTGGAGCCAGGGATAAAGATATGATATACCTAATAACACAAAATTCAATGTGAACGGCACATCAATCTCGTGATACTAACATTAAATACATCCCACGTATTTGTTGATAGAAAGTCAACCTCATGTGAACATATGGATTTTTTATGTAAAATTTCTTCACTAACCTACCGAGTCATGGGCTAGTATTTGCTTGGTTGAAATCATGAAAAATTGTATGTTGGCCCCATTTAATGTGCAAAGAAAATCATGCATCGAATGGTCATGAGACAAAGAAAAACTTGTTAGGGTGATTGGGATTTTTCATTATAAATACTCATGCATGCAAAGGCAATAGGTAAGAAAGAGTGAGAGCAAGCAAAAAAGAAATTGAGAAGAGTTAAGTGAGTGAGTTCTCTTGTGAGAGAAAATAAAGAGAGAAATTATGAGATAATTATTGTGTAGATTAAGAAAAAGTATTACAAAAAATTTGAGAGTTTTTATATATTAAAGTTAGGGTGTTAAAAATTTTTTGATTGAGAGAGTTTTTAAATTATTGTATTTTTTTAATAGTGAATTAATTTATCTCTTTCTTTTATATGTAAATTTATTGAGAGATATATAAGTCGAATTAATTAAATTGTTGTCTCAACTTATTTATTGCTTTAGTTTTTATGGGATTGTAATGCTCAAAATTTTTAACAATATTAAAATCAGGTCTCATTATCCATATTTGTCATATATGAATTATTTTATTAATAATTCAACAATCTCATTCATTAAATTACATGAAATTATTTATCATTAGTTTCAAATCGTTATACCAAACAATTTTTAAAGTAAACTTAAAAATACAATACGTGAGTTTTATCCAATATTAATTAGATATATATTTTTTAGTAGTCAAATAGCTTCAAAATAATTGACGTATATTTTAAAATCACCTCTTTGATATGATAAAAAGCAAGCCATTCCTGTGTAGAATAGGAATCACCTCCAACCTAAGAAACCAAGAAAGTGAACCCAGATGCGCAAAGTGTTTTGATACCAAACGTAGATAGAAGGCAAATTTACAAAATTAATTCTCACCTTGCTCATAGCTCGAACCTAGGTCGACTGCGTGGCAGGCAAGGATACTTATAACTATACAAAAAGAAAACAACTTAATTTAATAAATAATCTATTAATTATTAATTTTTTTAATTTTTATTTTTCTTAAAGTCATATATTAACTTTCAAATTTATCTCAATTTCATCTAATCCAATATAATTTTATTAATTGAATTAATGAAATTTCACAATTTTAATTATATAACACCATATAAATTACCATATGACTTCAAAACGAGAGGAAAAATTTCTCTTGTTCCTTTAAGAGTAAACTTTAATATAAAAAATTATTTCATATGATGAAAATTTTAAACAAATTATTTTATATGGTAAAAACTTTTTGAAACATATTCACCCCCCTTTTAAGGCAACATAGATACTTACATGCTAACTTATTTGGTGTCATATAATTAAAAATATGAAATTTAGCTATCAAAATTAATATAATTGTGTTTGACTTGATTAAATTAAAATAATTTTACAAATTGATAAATGATTTCAAAATAAAGTAAAAATTTTAAATTAAGATGAAAAAAAAATTAATGATTAATAAATAATTTATTAAATTAAGTCATCCACTAAAATGATCTGCAATTTTACTTTCCTTTTGAAATTCAGTTATTATTATTATTATTATTATTGTTGTTGTTGTTGTTTTGAAAAATAGGTCATCTGGACATAGGCAACGCCACATTTCCAATTCCCCGAGTCCATGCACGGTTCTGTTCCCATCCCATTGCCTCCCACCACCGCCGCCGTCCGGAAACCCACCGTGGTTTTCACTACCCCGGCAAACTACGCAATCAAACTCTCCAATCTACTCACTCTCAGGGGACACACCCCTCTTTGGTGTCCCACAATCACCACCGACCCCACGCCGCATGCCCTCTCTTCCCACCTCTTCCCCCACGCCCTTTCTCTTCTCTCTGCCATCGCATTCCCTTCTCGCACCTCCATTACATCTTTCTCCCTTGCTGCTCTCCCCCTCAAAAAGCCCCTCCTGCCGCCGGAGGGGGATACATTCATTCTTGCGGCACTGGGCAAAGACGCGGAGCTAATTGATGGCGTGTTTATTTCTCAAATTTGTTCCAACTTTCAGCGGATTAAAGTGTTGGTTCCTCCGATTGCTACCCCGAGTGGCTTGGCACGATCGCTTGGAGAGGGAGGCGGCAGAAGAGTGTTGTGTCCCGTTCCACGGGTCGTAGGATTGGAGGAGCCCCCGGTTGTACCGAATTTTCTCAGAGACCTAGAGGCTGTTGGTTGGGCTCCGGTCAGGGTTGACGCGTATGAGACGAGGTGGATGGGACCCAGTTGCGTGGAGGGCGTGGTGAGAAGGGGCGAGGGGGATGGGGAAGTGGACGCGGTTGTGTTCACCAGTAGTGGGGAAGTGGAGGGGTTTTTGAAGAGTCTGAGGGAGTTGGGATGGAATTGGGAGATGGTAAGGAGGAGATGGCCCCGGCTGCTTGTGGCGGCGCATGGGCCAATCACGGCGGCAGGGGCAGAGAGACTTGGGGTGGACGTTGATGTTGTGGGCTCTAGATTTGATAGTTTCAATGGTGTAGTTGACGCACTTGATCAGAGATTGTGTGAGTTAGAACACAAACAGGATTGAACGTAAAGTGTTCGAGAAAAGTCCCGTGAGAACACTTCACTCCATTATTATGCTAACTAAGTTCATCCAGCTATTTCCGTAATCGTGTCCAATTTAATGAAGTAGCCTTCACTATTTAACTCCATAATGCAATTTCAGTCCTCAGAATTCACATTTCTTCCTCCATCAAGGGAAAGCAAAACCGAAATACATTTGCCATGGGAAAAACTCATATGAGCTTGTAGCTCGGTCGGCAATATCCACGGCCATCTGTAAAAGATGGGTTGGCTTACGCCTTCCTCAATGTCAAGATGCTCATCATTGTTCAGTTTATTGAAATCATGTTGTTGTTTATACATCATACATTCTCCGGATCAGACCCCATCAGTATTGCTTGCTATTTATGGCAAGATATCATGTATTTTAGCTGAAGATGGTTCTGTGAAGCTCCAATTGCTGATTCAAAGATACAGAAGAATCTAAGGAGCATAAAATTCTGCATGATGCATTCTGATGAATCTACTTCAAATTAATGGTATGAACTCAAGAACCTTAATTTAATCACATCAATCTGAAAATTTTAAACATGACATCTACAATGTAGTATTCAAATGTTCTATTTTGTTTACTGTGGAACACAACACCAACAAAGAGCTTGCCACGCAGTTGGTACCCTACCCGTCAACATGATTTTAGGTTAAGATGGTAAAGCATAACAAATAGATATAATTATTATGGTTCAGGAAATTCCTCCGAATTACTTCAGGCATCAAAGTCAGGGTGGCCGAGTGGTGTAAGGCGCCAGACCCAAGTTCTGGTTCTCAACAAAGAATGTGGGTTCAAAACCCAGTTCTGACATCATATCCAAGCACCGCACCCCCAAAGCACACGGAAGACAAAATATTTTGAGAAATCTGCGCTTTAAGAACTCAAAGATTTACAAAACTCCCATGTTACAGGGAAAACTAATATAACACTCATGACATAAGGAATCTTACAAGCAGATTTATATATTGTGAAATGTTAGATCAAACTAATTGCATATTCTATACGTGAATCTATTGCTATCCTCTCTAATTGTAAAGCTAATAGTGTTTCAACTCTATTGCTTCAGTTTCTTCCTTTGTGGCTTCAACCTAGATTGAAGCTTCAATGCATCTTCCGTGGATGGCCGATCCAAAGGCCTGCTTCTAGTGCAGAGCAGAGCAACTTCAAGAACCAGCTTCATCTCCTCCTTGCACTCCAACATTGCTAGAAGCAAAAACTGAAATTCATTTTGCCATGGGACTGAGTTCTCTCTATCATTGCCTTTGAGCTGGCAGCTCAGTTGGCAAAATGCATCACTATCCATAAAAGATGGGCTGGATTCCGCCTCCCCCAATGTCGAAAGGCTTGTCTTTTATTTTTCAGCTTGTTGAAATCATGCAGTTTAACTCAAGATGGTCCTGTGAAGCTATAACTTTCTAGCTGCTGTATGATAAATTAGAACAAAAATTTCGTCCTGATATATTCTGAAGAATCTACTTCAAATTAAGGGTATGAACCCAAGAACCCTGATTTAATCGCATCAGAAAAAATTGGAACAGCACTTCAAGTTTTCAACAATATAGAACTAGAACACTTGAACATAGATGCACTTCTGTAAGTGCTTTTGAAACGTTTTAAATGTCAAAGTCAGGATGGTCGAGTGGTCTAAGGCACTAAACTCAAGTTCTGGTTCTCAACCACTTCTAACATGTGTCATTTGTCATGCCCTTCTCGTTTTGATTGCTATCCAAGAATTGTACTCTAAATTCTAAAAGCATATGGAAGAGGAAGACAAATTTCCTTTATCAGAAGAATGTTATAAGTTTTAAGAACTCACAGATTTACACAACTTTCATGTTACAGCAAAAACTAATATAACACTCATGACATAAACAAACTTACAAGCAAATTTATCGCAAAAACTTAGATCAAACTAATAGCATGTTTTATATATGTATGTATCCATATCCTCTCTATTTGTAAAGCTAATATTGTTTCAACTCTCTGGCTTCAGTTTCTTGCTTTGTGGCTTGAATCTAGATAGAAGCTTTAATGCATCTTCCATGGATGGCCGATCCGAAGGCCTACTCCTAGTGCAGAGCAGAGCAACTTCAAGAACCACCTTAATCTCCTCTTGCACTGCAACATTGCTAGAAGCGGCTTCATTGTCTTTATATATTTCCCTCACAAGAACATCTCTCGGCTTACTTTGTATGCCGACTCCAGCATTTGTCAACCTTCCATTACTTAATATTTCCAGGATGATCTCTCCAAAGCTGTAGATATCCATGTATACCTCCTCTTTGATAACATCATTGAATTGATCTGATTAATTTCAAAAATAAGAGATTTTCTGTTTAGCTAGAGGGAAAATAACTTACACAATTGCCACTAGGAAAAAGAATATGAATACTAGAGAGGGGTTACCTGTTTCTTTCCTGAATCTTGTTGAAGGAACTGAATCTTTTGTCAACTGTGTCAGATGTTTGAACCCAAATTCAGCAAGATGAGGTTCCATGTTATCATCAAAGACAATGTTACTTGACCTCAAATCTCCATGGGGAATTGTGGGAAAGCAATCATGGTGAAGAAAGCACAGACCTTTTGCAATTCCCAATATAATTCGGTATTTTGCTGCCCAATCTCTTTGGGCTGAAATTTTCTCGCCCAAATTCCCATTGGGTAAGTAATCATAGAAAATGTAAGCTGTATGACTGTTGTGGCAAAACCCCAGTACCCTGATCAAGTTTCCATGCCTTGCATCTCCCAATCTTGTTATGAATTCTGATACAATCTTCATCTTCTTTGGATCCCACTCGATTTTTTTCACCAGGACGGTTATTCCGGTGGGTAACACCGCGGATGCGGGTGGCGGTGGCGGCCATGGTGCTTCATTGGAATCGAAGCTCCTCAAGACGTCGTTTGCTGTGAACTGGGGGAGTCCGGTGAAGGAGACCATTTTCCATTGTCGGTTGGTTCTTTTCCCGAGATGTATTATCCACAGAACTGATGCAGATATGAGAACTGCCACCGCCGCACAGAGGAGGAGAACCAATATGAGTTTCCCGGTGCTCTTGTTTCCCAGGATAGCCATTGAACATGGTTTCAGAGGTGCTCCACAGAGGTTTGAATTTCCGGTGTACGAACTTCTATCCATTGACCGCAGCGCCTTTTCCGATGGAATAGAACCGGAGAGGTCGTTGAATGATACATTCAGAAGAACTAGGCTTGAAGACTTGCCAAACTTTGCCGGAATCGGACCGGTGAGGTTGTTATGGGATAAATCAAGAACAGCTAGATCAGAAAGAGAAGCAAGCTCTTCTGGTATCTGACCTGCTAAATCATTGTTCGATAAAATGACTGACTGAAGAGCTTGGCAATTGGAAATGCTTTTCGGGATAGTTCCTGAGAGATAGTTTGTGTGGAGTTCAATAACAGTGAACGATTTGCAGGATTGGAAAGGAGGAATGTCGCCGGAGATGTTGCAGGATGATGCAGATAAGTTCTGAAGAAGTGGGGAAGACCATGTTTGTGCAGGGATCATGCCACCCAATTCTGGGTTGTTGGAGATATTGAAGTACTGAAGCTTTGAAGCTTGGGACATATCTATGGGAATCCCACCGGAAAACTTGTTTCTGGATAAATCTACATATGTTATTTCTGGAAAATGACTGAACTTTAAGGGAATTTCACCTGAGAACGAATTATCCTCAAGCCGGAGGCGAACAAGGGAAGAGCAGTTGGATAAAGAAGGTGAAAGACTGCCTGAGAAATGGTTTGAAAAAAGAATCAACTTGAATAGAACGCCGCCGGTACAGATGTCAGGTGGAATGCTGCCGCTGAAACTGTTTGTGGAAACATCCAGCCACCTAAGCTTTGAGTTCCTGCCCAAGGTCTGTGGAAGTGAACCAGAGAAGAAATTGTTCCATAAAAACAGAGTATCGAGGGATGGAAGTACTGCGATCCGTTCAGGAACAGTACCATTCATTTCATTGAAGAACAGACTGAGCAGCCTGAGATTCTTCAACTCTGCAAAGCTCTCCGGTATTGGTCCAGTAATCTGGTTATCTGAGAGATCCAAATTGGTCAAAGGAATGATCTTGTTGAACTCCCATGGAAGCAACCCGGTGATCCGGTTTCTGAATAGAAAAAGGGACTGAAGCTTGGTGAGATTTGAGAGCTCCTTTGGTATTGAACCAGAGAGATTTGCGCCAGCAATGTCAAGATACTGAAGCTCACTCATGTTGCCCAGCTGCCATGGGATGCTTCCTTCGTAAGAGTTGTAGCCAATCTCCATGTGGGTCACTGTTTTCAGCTTCCCCAATTCAGGTGGAATTTCTCCGGTGAGGAAATTTCCAGCCAGGTGAAGAAACTCAAGGCTCTTGAAAGAGCCATACTCTGATGGGATGGGTCCATCGAAGTAACTCCCTGCTAAATTCAGAACCTTGAGGTGTTCAAGCTTGGAAATTTCAACAGGCAAAGGTCCTGAAAAGCTGTTGCTAAATGCATCAAGAACAACCAGGTTTGGAAGGCCGGAAACTCCACCGGGGAAGGAGCCGGAAAAGTTGTTTCTGCTGATATCCAAGCTCCTTAAACTGGTAAGATCGAAGATTCCCACAGGGAGTTGGCCAGAGAATGAGTTGTAACTGATGTTGAGATCAGAAAGCTCTGGAAAAACACTGAATTGCCTCCCTGATAACACCCCACCAAGATTCATCAGAGACAGATTCAAGCCAATAACAATGGTGGAATTCTTGTTGCATTTGACTCCAGACCAAGAACATGAATAGACTTCCCCAGATGGTTTCCCTCCAGAAGGCACAAACCAATCTTCCAAACTGCTGTATTCATCAATAATTTCAGATTTCAAGCTCAAAAGAGCCTCAGAATAAGGATCAACCCCTCCCATTACTACAACTAACAAAGAAGAAGATAGGAGGAGATTGAAGCATAGCCATTGGAAAACCTTCATTGGAACTTGGTGAAGAAGAGAAGAAAGAAAGGGCTACTATAAAACCCCCAGAAAGAAAATTGTGTCAGCTACAAGCTTCAATCTGCATATATGCCTGTGGGTCTGTATTTCAGGGTGAATGAATGCATGGGGAATGGAGAAAGGAATAGAGAATGACGTATAGTGATTAGTATGATATAGGAGGATACATTATTGGGATGCTTTGGGGGCCAAATAGTGGGGGCATATAGTGGGGACAATAGGAGACTTAGTTTCTTAGGATGGTGTTGGCCATTATATATAGAATAAAAATAAAGCTCTCATCTTTTTGTGTCCTCCTTTTTTCCTTTTCATCGGAGAGAATCCAATACATACACCTTTTTTGAAGTATTGCTAAACACCCAATGTATATATACATACATCTCAACCTTTATGAGGGGTGGTTTAACATACATCCATGTTAATCTTTATTTATTTATTTTTATAATAAAAAATTTTGGAGAATAGATCTATGCATAGAACCTGAGGTTTAGGTGTTTGCATATTTTTTTTTT